CTAGAGGTCTTGCCCTGTTTCTCGAATTGCATCAGTGTTCTTGATATGGTAGTTCTTGAAAAACCAAACAGTTCAGGCAACCTTAGTGATCAAGGCCCCTGCCATGCGAGCTCCAACAATTTGCTCTTTTTCGAACTCAAAGAGGTCATGCATTTAGCTTAAATTTTACTAAATTCTAACAATGAATAAGCCAGTAAATTAGATAAATAAACATATTTACAATAGATATAACCTGCAATTACGAAGTTTTAGTTAAAGTTCTTAATATAATAGGTCTTTGAAATATAGGAGTGGATTTTGCAACTGTTCCAATTATTTTGTCCAACCCCTGTATATAAAATGATTGATATGATGAATAGAAAAATTGTCCTACTTAATTAGTGGCTAATATAGAATACAAAATCTTCAAATATGAGAAATATTTTTATTTATTTATTGATTTCTAAAATATATATAATAATTTTTAAAGAGGTTTGATGACAAACTATTTATTTTAACAAATATAAAATATATATACGTTTGTTTATGCATGTATATATATATACTTTGGGTAGATGGAACTTGTCAGCTGAAGAGGGTAGTTGATCTAAGAGAAGGAAAAATCTGAATTTAAACCTCTGCTGCCTAGTAGACATACCCAATCATAGAAAAGGCTTTGGACATAAAACCTGATGACAAATCCTGAGCCAGATTAAGACAGTCTGATATTATGTTCAACTTTGTTCTGGCAACTCCTGTGGCAATGCTATTGCCAAGTTATATTGGCCTTTACTTTTCCTGTAGTCAACATTTGTGGTATGGTGAGGGGAGAAGTGCTGCATAGGCAACTGCTGATCTCTCAAAAAATTCTGCTCGGGCATGCACCCTGGAGAGGACACATCGTCAGTGTGAAGTTCTACAGCAGTGAGACTTGTATCTACTCTAGACAGGAATGATGCCTCAACACCTTTCATCTTTGTCTAAGATGCATTCTAGGCATTAATTGGGCTGACTGGGTTGCCAATGCCATAGTTCCCACCCATAATCAACCTATAAGCCCTTCTCCAACACCACTGGCTCTTTCCTTTAAGGATGTCTGCAAAAGGGATATGAGGGCAATAGGCATGGACATCAAGAGGTGTGAAAACGTTGCCAATAATTGCTTATACTGAGACACAATTTACACTGGGGGCTGAAGCATGGAGAGAAAAAACAAAGGCTTGCTGCCAGAGAAAAGCATACTTAATAGAAAGAAAACAACATGGTGACATCAGGGGAAGAGCATCTTCACATGCATTCTTTGCAATCAAGACAGCAACTCCTGTACTGCAATAACATCAGCAACTGAGTCATAATACTTTGAGCGCAGATCCACGGCGTGACATCCACTGATGGTCACAGCGCCAATATGTGATGTCCTCTGGTCACGATGCCAATATGTGACACTACACTGTCGGCCCATGGTCCCTCCCAGTTGTGGTGTGAAGCTGTAAGGTTTCTTCCACTAGCATTTGGGGTTGACTCCTTGTCGCTTCCACCAGCCTGTGTCCTGGTCAATTTGGTCATTCCTGGTTTGATACCAGCTTTGTTGTTCCCAGCTCACTTCCAACGTCTGGTTACCGAAGTAACTACTTTGATCTCAAGTCTAACCTACCCACGTTGTGACTTTGATCTTAGGCAGACAAAATCAATCAAGCATCGGGCCATAGTGCAAGCTGATTCCGGGGTAAAGGTGATATCACATAAGTGTAAGTAAAAGAAACAATAAAACAAACTCAAGAGGCTCAAATATGTTGAGAAATAACAAATTATCTTTATCCGTCTGTTATATACAGGAGTGTGTTTCTCTCCCTGCACATTTCTATGGATTTGTGACACTTTTGCATTTCTTAAGCAAGTTTTGGTATCTTAAGTTGTTCATCAATATAACTTGCTTTTGGTAGGAAGTCAAAAGGACGTGGAATTTCTCGGTCAGCTTCTGCAAGGCAACACTCTGACTCTGTCCGGAACTGAACTCCAACTCCAACTGAAACTGCCTGAGACGTTTGTTTATATGGATACCGACCAAAACCCGGTGTGGGGCCTGATGTGGTTTGGGTTCCTTGATAACTTTCAATTTCCAACAAGAATTCTCTTTGTTCTTAGGCCAGAAAAATTAATTACTTCTCATTTTTGGAAGATTAATTACTTTCCATTTCGGGAGTTTCTCCCTCGTCTGTGAGGGAAGGTCGGAGGAGAATTATCCTCCTAGACTCTTCCTCTCTCACATTGGTATCTCATACCAATCCCCTCAGTGGGTTTTAACAACTTTTCTGTCTTTCTCATACATTCACCTCCGCCTATCACCCATGCTACCACTTGACTGATGATCTCTCAGCAGAAGTCTGTAGTCTTATTCTGATAAAGCAAAACTTATTAAATAGTAAACTTTAGTAAAGTTTAACATGATTTACTGAAAAAAAATATGTTTCATCTGAAGGATGTTTTTTTTTCTCTTGACACTGTTATTACTGTCTTTCTTGACAATTTGTAATGTTTTACAAAGCTATTTTTAGAATTTTAATAAAATCCAAGCATGTGAAACTGGATTTACGCATTCTCTTTTTTTTCTTTAGAATTCACAACAAAAGATTTAAAAACTATTTTATTAAACAAAGTAAAATTAAGTGTTTAGCATTTTTGCTGTCATTCTCAAGAAAAAAAAATTCAGATGCTCACAAAATAATTTAATTAATTTATGTGGCAAGAGCAAATGAAAGAAATGTCCAGAAAATGCATTTTTAAAAAATTTATAATTACTGTTAGTTGTAGTTACATGTTTATTTAAATTTTCTTGTTCAAACGTGGATGTGCAGATGGTGTAATGGATATAAACTCAGAATGAGAAATCAGACAACCAAGTTCAAATTCCAATCCCAAGTTCCAATTTTAAACATGCATCTGGGAAAGGTATGATTCATTAACTCCCCCAGATATGGGTTAAATAGTAGTACTTGTATCTGAGAAAATTATTTTTATTCTAAAAAAAAAATGTTAATGCAGTATTCCCTCCCTACGTCAAAAAGTCTTAAAATATAAAATATGTTGCAGCTTTTAATAACCCAGAAAGAGTTGATAAGCCGTAGAAAAAGATTTCACAGATTTTTATAAATTTATGAATAAAATAATTAGTCTTTATAGTTATTTCTATATAATATTATAAAAAATAATTGCATTGGAGTTGGTTTTTATACTTTATTAACTTGTAAATATAAAATTATTCTTGTAAATAAACAATCTAATAAAAAAATGTTTTATATCTTTGTTGTCAGTTCTTGAGAAAAAAGAGAAAATGCATGAATTCAATGTTTGGGTTTTAATTGTGAAAATAGCTTTCTAAAACAATAAAAGTTACCAAAAAAGTATATATTAATAACGGTGCCAAGAGGGAAAAATTATACACTTTTTTTTAGTATATATATTACACTGCTAACAATGAAACATGGCAGTTGGTACAATCTTGTGCATGTGTTTCAAATGATTTAGGCTCAAGTCCAGTGGCTTTCAGTGTTGTTTTGAGTTAGTCCTTGTATTTTTGAAGAGGGCAACCCTGTGGTCTTCTCACTGAATAAGACTTGATGTGGAAACCATGACTCTTCCATTCTAAAACTTCAAAGCCATTAGAAATGGTGAATGGTACGACAAAATCAACCTTGTCCTCCACCAGCATTACTATGCAGTCAGCGTCATCAGTTCCTTCCATCCAAGAACTGGTCTATTTGGTCATCAATGCCATCATCATAAAGGAAGTGATAAGAAAAGAATAAATTAAATCTTGGATGCAAGATAAAGCCGACGATATATTATACTTCACCATGTCTTTTTATCCCAATTTTATTCCACACTAATGACCTTACTATTATCACTTGATTCTTTTCATTAGATATTTAAGAAACAGTGGTTCTAAATAGAAAATTTATCAAAATAGATGTGGATGTTGTTGTATTGGAGATTATGCAAACAGCCCAGCAATTTTTAGTGTAGAAAATGGAATTGGTATCCCAAGATCAAATTCTGGCCAAATTTGTTTCATTCTTTTTTGGAAAATGTATGAATATATCTCTTCCCCCCAGCTGTGGGTCAAACACTGTGGCAGACTGAGATCTCTAGCCTTGTCTAGTAACCAGTCTAGGAGAAGTACATTTCTGAATGAAAAAACAATTGGACATAGCTTCACACTGTAAAAACCTAGTTGAAATGAAACTCCAGCACCAACATCTAGAGTTGGTTCATTGATTTTGTTTAGTTATATATCAACCTCTATGGATTATTTAATGCTGAAATCTAAATAAATTGAACACAATGTTATAGCTTCAACTAAATATATTTTGGACAAAATTGTCTGTCTTCAACTATAGATAAAATGTATTGCTGGTCATTTTACTATAAATATGTAATTTTGGAAATTTTTTATATAAAAAATGTATTGCTGGTATTTTTACTATAAAATCATATTTTTATACTTTCATTGTTTTTGGTTTTGGCGGGAGGTCACTATTTGCCCATTTCTGGGACCCTAACAGGTGCTGCCACTGTGTTTCAGGGTGGACCTGAGAACAATAGCAATTAAGAGGTGGTTCCATGCTTCTCAAAACCTCTAATCTCACAATCAGAGGCATTGCTGCCGGATGTAGTTTATTGTCATACCCAGGACTAACATTTACAGTGACCTCATACTCTACAAAAGAGTCTAACAGAAGCTGTTGTCTATTAAGTTTTTAATCTCCTATGAAATATGATACATTTAAAATCAAGAAAGAAACAATTAAATATTCTGTTTTGTTATCTGCCTTAAATCTGAAAACTATTTTTCTTTATTTTATTTTCATTTACTCAAAATGAATATCTTAATAAATCCCCTAATAAGCATTCATCAGTTTCAGATGATACAGTCTACTTGTATGGCAAACTGATCCCTGTTGCAGGAGCTTACTCAGGCACATTTGTGTTTCTTCAGCATCCACATAGCTTATAGCCAGATTGCATTGAAACACCAGTCCCCATATGGTCACCAAAGTTAAGCAATGTTGAGCCTTGTCAGTACCTAGATAGGTGACCACTTGGGAATACCAGCTGCTGTAAGTTTAATGTATAATGGCTTGGAATTGTTAATCTGAGAGCTGAGTTTCAATTTCTGTTGTGATTGTTATATTTGCTTACATACAAATATCCTTGGGAAAAGCATAAATCCACCTCTTCTTAGCTATAGATTAATTAGTAAAATTTGTATCACTCAATCATCGTCCACAAAGCCAATCTGTGGCTCATCACCTTGCAGCCTCAGCCGAGATTGAACTCACTACACCTTTCCAGTATTCCTTAACAGTCATAGCTAATACTTTGATTGGTGTAGTTCATACTCTTGTCAAATAGCTGAATTCTTGATGCTTCGCTAGGGCTATCAAGAGTGTTTTTTATCGTGACACCATCACTAAATGGATTGCCAACCAAGGCTCAGAGAGACTCCATTCACCCTCGTCTAAGAGCAGGTTTTGAATTCAGAGTTTTCCTTCTAGACCAGTTGCTATCCAAGTCTATAGAACCCAGTCTGTCCTGCTATTTACCCATAGCTGGAGGGAGAAGAAAGAGGATTCACACCTTTCCCAAGGTTATTAGCACGTAAGTGAATGTAATGGATTCGACTGGAATTCGAACTTGGCTCTCCGATTCCTCAATCCAAGCTGCTATCCATTACACCACCGTGCCTCCGTGGCTCATACTGCAACTATGCTGAGTGGATCTTAGTTACAGTTTCTGGGAGTGAGTTCATAATCACGTATGATTAGTGGTTGAACACAACCAGTATGCTCAGTCACATTGAATTTAAGGCTAGCACAACTATTGACAGCTTCCAAACAATTTTGTCTACCCAATTTTATTCACAAGGCTTCGTTAACCCATGGTATGGTATAATTTTCAGCCAATTTTGAACAAATACATGGATCTACCCAAGATGATATTACCAAGAAGTCGCCATTTTAACAAGCCAACCATAGTGAGATTTGAACCCAAATCTCATGGTCAAAGGTGAATATTTCAACCACTTGGCAACACACCAATTTAAATTCTCTATAAACAGATAGCTCATGGAAGATACTTATTTTACACATTTTGTACCTCAATCAACTAGACGGTCAGTTTAGTTCCCCAAAATTATGATAATATACGAATTAACTCCTTTATTTTACAACTGGTATTGCTATTAAAAATCATGAGATCATCACTAGTCAGTATTTAATCCCAATTCTCTCTTTTGTTTAATCTGCTTCTTATATGGCAACTTTGCAGCACCCCATGAGAGTGGTTGATTTATTTTGTATGCTTATTGCACACACCTAGTTGTACATTTCATTTAGAAAAAATATTATCCAACAAAGTATGAAACCATTGCATCAGACATGTGCGTTAATAATTTAGAACTTAATATATTTTAAAAATTCTTCAAGCAAAATTTTATTCTTTCTAGTAAATAACTTAATTGAAATGTATTCACTATTTCAATATTTGCATTTTTAAATAGCACAAAAAATGTCATTAAAGCTTGTTCCAATTCTGTATAATGATTTATTTCTGCACCTATGAACACTATAAAAAGTTCATTTAAAATGTTTTCATCTTATTGTATTTACCATTATGAAGAATTACTTCTTCCAAATGAACCTATAAATAATCTCTGTTCATCGGTATTGTAATCTGTGCCAAATTTCTATACTCGGCCAATTCCATCAGTGCAATAAACCAAGGACCCATCTTTGCTGAAATAGGAAACAAGATCTTTATCTCTATTTCAGTACCAAGAGAAAATTGTTCCTGGATAATTTTTTTTTCCTTTTTAATCAAGACCCCAAGAGCCCAGTAGCATCTTTGAAGAGGCCAAATTCACTTTCTAAATTTTATTTACTGAAAGAATGGCTGTGCACCACTTGAACATTTTGGGACAATTTCTTCATCTTTGTCTGAACATTTTCTTCCTTTGAGCGAATTTCTACATAATCAAGATTAACATGAAAGTATGAATTTGTATAAGTACTGGTCTTACTGCAAATGGAAAATTACAGCAACCATTTTCTTTTTTATTCTTTTTCTTGTATCCTTTAATTTTGCAGGTGAAAAATAGCAATCACAATTTTTGATTGATTCATTTTCTATGGATTATCAACCCTTTGCCAGTCATTTCAAGCCAGAAGATATTTTTAGATTGTACAATTTTTTTTTTTGGAAATGATAATGATTTAGTGATATAAGTCTTACTAATTAACCCATAGCTGGGAGGGGAAGAATTTGATAAACAAACAAGATATTATGTAGTCTATATGAAGTGGCGGGTCAATCCTATATTACAATCAATATATAAACTGATCCCTCACTTTTTGGCCACAGTTGTTTTGATACATTTATATTCCAGAGAATGTAAATAAATCTAAAAGAGAAGCCTGTGTAGTTAATAAGTTTTTTAATTGATTAATTTGTTTTCTATGGCTTATCAACACTTTGCAGGTTATTTAAAGCCAGAAATATATTTAGATTGTAAGGATTTTTTTAGATAATAATGGTTTAGTGATACTCATCTTAATATTTAACTCATAGCTGGTGTCAGAAGAGGTGGATTCATACTTTTCCCAAGGTTATTTGTATTTAAGTGAATATAACGAACCTAACTGGAATTGGAACTCTGCTGCTTGATTAACAATTCTGAATCATTATCCATTATTCCACCTGCATATCTAAGCTTTATTCCCAAGTAGTCAACCATCTAAATAGTGACCAGGCTTGATATTGCTTAATTTTGGTGATCGTATGGAAACCAGTGTTTTCACCACCATCTGGAATATTGGAACTTGACCCATTTTCAGGCAGACTTATTCCCATTTTTAGTAGCTTTAAAATAGCCAATAATGCTTAGCCATTTTGAAGTTAATTCTATATTCGCTACTTATTTCTGTGTTTTCATTTCTTTTATTTATTTACTGACTTATACATTTCTCATACAAAACCACTGCAAATGATGCTTGATTAAGATTGGTGTAGGCATCTGAGATAAAATGGCTTTTTTTCACTGCATATGTTTTCTGCAATCTCATGAAGGAAATCAATAGTGCTTTTGAAATATGAATTGAGATAAAAAAAAGTTTGTTTATTTTAATCTTTGAGAGAATTTAGCATTGATAAAAAAATCCATTTGTAAAACGGTAACAATATGAAATGGCCTTCATATAAAAAAAAACCAACTAATTTTAAATACTGCTTTTCAGATTATTCAAATTTTTACTGCTTAAATTTTTACATATTTTGCTACTGAGATCATCATGCTTATCTTGATGGTTCTACTCCCAACATTTTACCATTGTCCAAGAAAGACATGGTCTAGTGGGTTAGAGTGTTGGTTGAAATATATCTGACTCCCTGACAACTGTTCAATTTATATATTAAAATCTATATATTACTGTTTGATGAGTATTAACTGATATGTGTTATCTTCACTGCCATATTTATCCCAAGGTTTCTGCTATAGGTGGTTGAAATGATGAAATGAACCCTTTATTTCACTCGCTGTTTCCACATGCCATGTATCTTCTATTAATTCCCCTCTCCAGGTTCTCCACTGCCTTAACTAGGTATTGAACTCACAACTCTTTGGGTCCCATCACTGAATCTAACCAACGCCTTTATCCACTGTCATGTCCTTAACGACATCTGTGTATGAATTTCTGGGACTTATAAACTTAATGTCTTCACAAACAATTTTTTACCAGTGCTCATATTGCAATTTTTGCTGTTATCATTGCATGTTGTTTTTACTGCAATTTTCATTGTTATTATTGCTTTTCTCTGGCACTCCTTATTACTGGTTCCCATATTGTATTTATTTCTATGCTTGGTCGGCTCAGGAGATTTTTGTGGCCTAGCATATGTGCTGAATTTTCCAAATTTTCCACTGATGTTCTTTGTCTATGATTTCAGCCTGATCTCACAGATGGTGGTGATCTCCCTTTTCTCTTTGTATATATATATATATATATATATATATATATATATATAGGGGAGACAAGCTGCTCTCTTAAGGTAAGGCTTCAAGAACACCAAAAAGCTGTAACACAAGGGTAAGTGGAAAAATCAGGCATGGCTGACCACAAAGATGAGGACAATAATGAAAATAGTGTATATAATACCTCATCTCAGAAATATAGACAGATGAGTTATTTTCCCTAACTGATATTTTCCCTAACTGATATTTTCCCTAATTGATATCTCCCCTAAGCATGGCAAGCAGAATGAGAACAATCTATCAACATGTGTTGAATAAAGGAATCTATTTGAAATTCCAAGAAGGTTACAAAGAAAGACACTTGAGAAGGGCCAGAGAGTGGAACACATTGATGAATATTGGAGTCTTCTGTGAAGAGATGTCTGCAGCCACTGGGTTGTAAGGTTCAGAGGATGGAGAGCTCTTGCTATTTGGTCTCTTTCTCTCCCTTCTATCTGTCTTCTCATGTTTTCAAACGATATTTTTTGTGGGATACTCTTTTCCAGTTGGCTCTTTCTGCAGCTTCTCTCTCCAAATTGACTAGATTGATTTCTTTCCTCAGCAAGGTGTTTTTAAGCTGATCCTTGAATTAATGACATGGACCTCCACATGGTTTCCTGCCAGATGTGAGCTCTGAGAAGAGGATTTGTTTAGGTCGACAGATGTTTGGCATTCAGGCAAGGTATCCAGCCCATCAAAGTTGGTGGTGAGTCATGATGGTTTCTAGGCTCTTCATCTTTGATGAGTACAACAGCAAAGTGTTGTAGAGTAGTTTTCACAGTGGAGGCTTGTATTTCACTAAGTCGGTCCTAAAAAAGGTTCGACATACAAAACATTAAGAACTTGAAATAATAGTTAATGATGCAGCAATCTAGTTGTAGTGGCTGATACTTTAATGTCCGACATCGACTGACTCACCAACTCACTGAGCTCCCTGGCAATTGCTACTACTACTACTTATTATCTGTGGAAGAGTCTATTAGCAATAGAATAGGTATGTTCCGGTATAACATGGGTATAACGACCAAGATGAGTATGTTGGTCTGAATAGCAAAGC